CCCCCGCCCCCGGGCCCGGCCGTTGTCAAGCACCCCTAAGTACCGGTAGTTAGGTTGTCCCAGCACATAATGGGTAAAAATTCCCCGGGCAGGCCAGAAGGACAAAACAAAAAAAAAAGACACCTAACCCTCAACAACAGGTAATCCAATAATATTTTAGGTTTTAATTTTTGAACAAAAAGCCTTCCAGCTAGAGACAAAATATGATTCTTGTCATTTTTCTGTTGAGAGAGAATTGCATAAGCAGTCTGTAGCAGGCATGTAACTAAGAAATTTTATTTCATTGGCTACTTAAGTGGTGTAAATCAGCATTTCTCTTCTACAAAAGTGAAGGGAACTGAAAGCAATTTGTATCAGGTAGGAGTTGATAATTAAAAGCACTGTATTTTAAAGTTGGAGGAAATTTTCAAATACAGATATCCATATATTTGTTTTCCACAGAACAAACACTGAGAACAAAATCAAGGGCTGATCCTTCTTGTAACACTTGCATTTTTATGTATCCTTTCTACTGTGCTATCAGCATTCATGTACAAAACTATCTATCCTCTGTCTACTCCATCCCTCACCCCAAGTGTTGCCCTTAAATGAGCAGCTTACCTCATGCTTATTCCCCTTCGCATATAAAATCATAGAATCATTGATGTTGGAAAAGACATTCAAAATCAAGTCCAGCCTTTGACTGAGTACATTGAAGACCCACAAACCCAGCATGATTCCTTGTAGTAATGAAATACAAATATAAAATAACTGTCACAGGCATTAATGAGGTATGTTAAAAGTCTGTAAAGTGCAAATTATTAGGAAAGTATTCAGTAGGTCATATGTCACCTGGCAAACAGCCACATCTTTACATTAATGATCTTGGACCAATGTTAAATAAGTAATTATGACTTCTGGGGCTTGAAAGGATGAAATAGTATTTCTTAATCAATCAACTGAAGTAATAGTTGAAATGACTGTTACCCTCTTCTTCGTTCTTATGGTGAGTCCTTTGCACAATTAAGTTTGATACGCATCTAATTTACCTCAGTGTACAGATAGAAAAGATGTGCTATATTTCTACTCCTGCCTGGTCATAACCACTACTGTATTGCTTTATTTATGACAGTTTAATGTAAAAACATCAATCTATCTGGTGCTAAGAAAATCTTCCTTTAACCTTTCACATTGCTTTCAGTGGATATGTCAGCCAAAGAATTTATAGCTTTTTCTTTATCACATGTGATTCTAACCTATTAATCAGCTCTTGCATATCCTTCCTGAAGGAGAAACCTTTCAACATAATCAATATATACAATTTTATCATTTTGCATCCTTTGGTAGAACAGGAATACAGAGGAAAGACTATCTGTGGACAGGATTAATCTTCTGATGATGATGCCAAGAGCTTGGTATCTTATTTTTAAGGATAGAACTTATACAGTCACAAAGGAATGATAAGTAAAAATCTCTTGCATGGGAAGTCAAGAAAACATTTTCACTTAGTCAGATTTGAGTTTCATGTATGTATTCTTCTGACTGCACAGGAACTTCTCCAGAGATATTTGTTTGTGCAGCACAACTCAGAAAGATTTGATAGACATAATTCATCCTGAAAACTATTTCTTCCAGTGAGGTAGCAAAACAAAGAATAAATCATTATATTGTAAATCCATTCACTACAACCGTCCAACAACTTTCCTCCTTTTATTTATACATAGGTAGGTTCAACTTGGTTTGCAATCCCTTCCTCTGAGAAGCCTATTCCTTCCTAATGACTAAGTCTTGACTTCAAGCTTAGTCATCTTAAACAGGTTAATTTAATTAAATTTTGATCTCTTAATTAATGCTTCTGCCCTGGGATGTGTTTACTTTAGATGGGCAGCAATCCGTTTGGAGACCTGTCCCTGTTGATAACAGTGTGAGGCATCAACACTTCTTATTCAAGTGAATAATTTTAGGTGAAGAATACCCCTATATTTAATGCCACGAAGTGCTGTGAATCACTTTTGTTAGATCACATTTTCCTCACTGACATGCAAATGCAGTCCTGTGTCTATACAGTGTGCCAAATAAATTATGCTCTGGTTTGGAGATCTGCATCAGATGTCTCCATACTACAGAGTAAAGGAGAAATAAAAACTAGATGCATTAATCACTGTCCTGATCTCTACTCCTCTCAGTCTTAATTTTCCTACTTCAAAATATTTCTTTTTTTTTCCCCTTCGGTTATAGTTGCAGTCTGGCAGGGAGAAATACACCAGGTTTATGCTTTGAATCCTTTGCTCATTTAAAAATGAAATGAGTTTTATACAGATTATTCCTGCAGGTCCTGATTCTCCATGGATTAGTACTAGAACTTTAAAGAGCAGCTCACTTAGCCAACTCCTGTTTTAATAGGGCAAGGAGTTCTGTTTATTTTGGCTGCCCTTTCTTTACATTTAATCTCTTGACAGGGAACTATGGGAATGCTTGGATTTTTATGACTCTCAGATTGGTGCTGATCCCTTCACTTATCCTTATTTTTTTTATCTATCAGTGGAAAACATTACATTACAACAAAAGTCTACTGTTGGGACGGCTTATTCCTGTTGCAATTTTCTTGCATTTTTCCTGTAGTAATTTAGTTATTTTAAAAACAAGCAGCCCGAACAATCTGAATAGCACAATGAGAAGATTTGCTTTGCAAATGGACATGATTTATACAGTTCTACCAGCCCTTAGAGAAGCTTCTCATTCTGAGACACCAGACAGAAATGCCAGTACTGCTTCCCAAGCAGGAAAATAACACATTTCCTGGTCTGAGAGGTGAAAAAACATAAAAACAAACCTGAAACTGGACCCATGGATTTTCCTTACCAAATCAGAAATACAAGTAAGTTTGCTTCCTAGGGTATATGCTCCAAGACTTCTGTCAAGAAGTGTCTCATTCTGAAAGAACACAGCATGTACTAGGACAGAGGTGGTGGGAGTGAAGGGGAGGGCATCCCCAGACAGTAGCTGTGCTACTTTGCCTTACTTCTCCATAGGTCCACTTTACACAGATATGCATTCCTGCTTCTCTTCAGTAAGATAACCAAATTATTTTTAATTGACCACAGTATTGAAATGATTGACTTGATTCAGACTTGCAAAAGCCTGCTGAGTAACTTTGACAAGACTTTTTTTGGGGAACGGTTTCCCTGAGCTAGACCAATGCCTTTACCTTGCCTTTTTGCTAGGTTTTGCATTATCCCAGTCCCGCAGAGACAAAGGAAGCAGTTGGAAGAAAAGGAACTCCCTCGGGTGCAGAAGACATATTGCAAATTCAGAAATAGCTGGGAAGGACTGAGGAACGTTTACAGCCTGGAAGGTGCCATTTGAATTAGCTCTGTGGTGTGCATAATTTATTGGACACAAATACAGTGAAAGGTTGACAAATGCTCTGTTATGTGGCTGTATGTGAAACGTGTTTGTTAATGTAACCTTTAGCTCACTTCTGCTACTTTAAAGATTTGTGTATCCAGAAATCCCATTTCCTTTAAATATTGCCTAAAAGCAGGAAAGTATTTTTTGGGTGATTGGATAAATAACCATACATTTTAATCTAAATAACTTTTTAATCATTCTCTGCAATTCCCAGAAGGCTGGAATTATGACAAGTCGAAGAATCTAGACAGGTACCTGAATTGATTCTATTTAATATAAAACTGGGGGGGAGGGGACAAAAAAAATCTCTGGATCATAGCTGCCATTTAACTTTCATGTAGGCAGTGTTGGTCCAAATCACCCAGTACCTCCAGCAAAATAATCTGAGGGTGATATTGCTAGATATTCCTAGACAATTGTTAAACTGAGCAAGAAGGAAAAAGAAATTCAAAACTGTCAGGGGCCTTTGAGGTTATCTAATGCTCCTGATCCAGCTGCATTATTTGCATATTTTGTGCAACCTTCTGTCCCAAAGTTTAAGAGAAAGAAAACATATTTGGGAGGTAAGTGATCAGAAGTAAATAAAAAGCTATGAGAAGGTAAAGATACCACAACAAATCATGCTTACTTATGGATAGCAGGTATTTATACCCTGAAGTCAACAGAAGAATATGAATATGAGTGGTGTCACAACAGAAGAAAAGAGAACTGCCAAGGTCTGTTTACCATTAGTGAATACGGAGTAGGTTCAAATGGAGCAAATTCCAATAATTTATATTTTTTTAGATTAAAAAATAGAGATTACCAAACTGTTCCTGTGATCCTATAATTCTAAAATAGAAGAATACTCCAAAGTGTTCTTACTTCAGTGGAAATTAGATGACTCTGAAAGCAAACCGACTTTATTCTTTCTACGTTTTGAGAATAGCCCATTTGTGTTAAGCCTTTTTACAAGGTAAAGGAGGGGAAATGTAGCCTAACAGAAGTTTTTAAAACTATTTGAAAACCTATTTCAGCACGTTTATAGATTAGTGAGGTAAATTTTGCACAGCCTTGAAAAATGTTTTTTATAACACTCATCCTACCATTTTCAGCTGATAGACACTTCAGACTCTTTCTCTGTGACTCAATTAAATAGAAAACTAAAAGTAAGAGTATTTTGACAGGGAAACTAAATTATATCAACTATGTAAATCACTTGTCAGGAATCTAGCAGATGTTTTCCTGAATTCCTGAACAGCCAGGGGAAAAAGAAAGCTGTTTGAGTTTACAAGATGCTCACCAATTCATCCATCCCTTTACACAGGAACAATCTGAAACTCTCAGACACCCACTGGAATGAAAACTCATCCATGCCAATTAACTTTCCACAGGCAGGCTTCAATAATCTTCCTGCAAGATTGCACTTGAGGCTCCCTAAGGAGGGCACTAGAATGTGATATTATACGTGTTGAGCTGTTTTGTGTCTTCAGATTATTTTCTGCTGCAGATGCATATGGGGAGCAGCAAGGGAGATCCTAACAGGTGGGTGAGAGGGAGGGAGAGAGGGAGGAGCAAATGCTGAGGTCTTTCCAAAAGCAGGAAGGAGCTCGTAACTCAGAATTTGTGCCACTCTCTCCACATCTCCCCTGGATGTCCATGAAACAGCTAGCCTGACCATAACAGCTGGAGTGTGTATGCCAGTGGTCCAAAGGATGGCTCTGGAGTTTTGACTTTATTCGCTAGGGCTTACCCTGAATGGTGTTGAAGAACCAACAACTTTCAGCATGGGATAACTGTTCCATGAAATACAATGAGACGCTTGTACACATCTCTAAGCTTTGGTAACAAGTGTTTTACCTTAGTCCCTCAAAGTCATCCATGTACCACCCAGGACAATTATTCCAGCCACAAAAAAAAAGATTTCTTTAATCAATACTTACTGAATTCTAAGCACCTTGAATTCAGCTGACACACTTAGTGAAAATTGCCTTCAGCAATAGTTTCAGAGAACCAGTAGTTAAAGATTAGTATATATTTGTAGAGATATAGATATGGTTTTGATTACATTTAATGACTGTATACAAAGAACAGATTATTTTCCCCTCTGCACAGAACATACCATATCTACCAAAAATCTCCAATGCTCTCAGCAGTTTAAAGGAGTATTTCAGCTGCACAAAATTTAAAAAGTATCTTTGCCATAACTGTTTCTCTTAAATTAATGTGCATAAATATATATACAATGTGCATGTAAATAAATATATGTGCATATGAGTTGGACCAAAAAAATTCTGAATGCTGAAATTTTCTGTGATATTTTTATATTTTTCTAATGAATGCCAAGCAACTCAGTACCACAAATATATGATGCACAGAACAGAAATTTAAAGCTACAGTTGCTTTCCAGACTGTTACTGCAACAAATCTGGGGCTTCCAGGGACCTAATTGCATATTTTAAATGAAGCATGCACTTAAATGTCTTGCCAAGTCAAAACCTTTTTCTGTAAAATCCCTTGCTCACTATTTTTACCTGTTTTCTAGCATAATGCAAAATAGAGGTCCTACTTGAATGCTCTGATATATAGTGAATAATTAGAGCTGAATGGAAAATAGAAACATTTTTTCAGGGAAAAATGTCCTCCTTATTTTATCTCAAAATATTCCATGAAAAAAAATACGGTAATAAAGTTAACATTTATAATAACAGCAATGTAAAGCAATATATAGAAGTGTAAAGTAAATTATAGTAACAATGCATAAACTGTTTTTAATTGCCTTCACCTTAACTAAATTATTGGCTCTGTGAATACTGCTATTAATTTACACAAGATCATTTACATATAACACAAGATTTTATAACAAGTATATTTACTCAGAAGGAGGAGTGGTGTCAGAATCTAGCCGCAATGGGTTAACATTTTAAATCAATTTTCTGACTGCCTGTAGTGGTAGCATTTAAAAATCAGATTTAGAGTTCAGCAAATTCAGAAAAAGAATGCTTTGCAATAACTAAATATTGCTTGCTGAGGTCAACATTTTTTTTTTCCAATGATGCAGAGAATATTTGGAAAAAAAGGAGAATAATCCAGTAGCTAGTACAGAGGTAAATACTTGTTATTTTAGTAAATAATTGTGAATATATTGTGAAGCTGCAACAATGTCTAGTTTTTAGCTCTTCCATACTATTACTATAAATAAAATATAAAATTTTATAAAATACACATAATAAAATTTTGGGGTTTTTAATCCACTATTTTTTCTGTCTTGCTTGAAACCCTTCTAAGTAGCACCGAATTTCTATAAGACTCAATGATTAAGAGGTAATAGGAGAGAGACACTCTTGAAAAACAATAATATTATATACTGATAAACAAGGAAGCATATCTCTCAGGCAGCATAAAATAAACTATGCTTACCAAAGAGGCTGAGGCGAAAATTGTGATGTTTCAAACAAACCTTTTTTGTTCTATTTCTTTCCTCCTCCTATTTTTCAAACTCTCAGTATTTTTTCTCTTTCTCACTGACCCCTTCTCTTTTTTGCCTTTTCTCTTCCCCTGATTGTCCATGGAGAGGAATTCATAATGAAAATTTAACATTCTACAGTACAATTTCAAATCATACTTGTACAAGTTGACCTTGGCAGATTTTTTCAAAGTAGATGGATTTACACAGCTATGGTGGTGAACCTAGCTCTTAACCTTCTTATTAGAAAAATAATTCTGCTTCCAGAATGATCTAGCATAATGGGAAATGAGTAGCTTATCATTACAATGAAGAAACTGGATTTTGGCTGAGAAAATAAACAGCACACCAGTTCTAACATTCATACCATGGGTGCAAGTTAAAACAGAAGTCTGATAGTGAATATATATTGAAATTATTGAAAATAGTATGCTTAGCTGTCAGAATATGAAAGGTAGTTACAGCAAAAAGCTCAGAAGTAAGAAAGGTACAGCAAGCAAAAATATGCAAGAAAATAAAACAGAGTTCAGTAGGTAAGGGAACAAAGTATGATGGAGAAGAAACTGGTTGAAAAGTGCTGACACCTTATTAGGCATGTTGCAATTTTAGAAGACAAGGTTTCCATTAAGGAATTTATTTTTTTTCTTTTTTTTTTTTATCCTGTTCTTTCATAATGTTCAGTTGCAAAATTATGTCAAAGAAGATATTCAATGATTGGTTCCAAAACATCTGAGGAACTGAATAGAGTGCCCAGATTTTCCTCTGTTCTTCCCCTCCCATCTTCCCATCCTGCATTTGAATCCATTTAATGGCTTTTCTACTGAATTTGCTTTAGATTGCCATTTCTTTAACTGTATCTCTTATTTACCTTCTTTTGTAAGTCTTTTCCTGCAGCTCTGTTTTCTCTTCTACTTTCTCCTATAATCTATATGTTCTCCCTTTTCATACTCTCCAGCACTACACTCAGGAACAGCGGATGCAGCATCAATAGGAGTTCCCAATGCATCCACTGCTCACCTGTAGTTCACCTTTATTTTCTCTAAGCTTCTCCTTTTATAGTACTCATTAAGCAATGTAAGTAAATGAAATATTTGTGGACTACTGGCATCTTTCAACAACTCTATCACAACTTTATTTACTGATAAAAATATTGTTTGTTTCATACTTCTCACAGATGAAAACAGCTAGTATAGGGGAGTATATTTGTATGTGATTTTATAAGCCCAAAAACCTCCAGACAACATTGCTAATTCACATAATGTCCTTGAATGATAGATTTAGCACTTAAATGTCTTATTTAGGGGAAAGCTATATATAACTAGAAGTAAGTGGAGAATGTCTTGTTGCATATGTTCCTGTGGAAGATCCAACACATTCTTTACGCCAGCATATACAAAGGGAATAATTTTTGCCCATTGAAATGAGAGCTGCAGCTACCATTGTTTTCAGTAGTTCCATGAACCTGACAACCCAACTAGTTTCTGCGTAAGACCTCTCTTACAAACTGTCTTGACAGGGATTAAGTCTGGCAGACTGGCAGGTTGGTTTGTTGTGCATTTGACATATCTGCTT